AGGTGGCCCTTAGGCTCAGCAGGTGACAATGGCAAGGTGCTCTTGGACAATATTGTTTCTTCTCTCTGCCCTTTTCCTTCAGACAGAGCAGACAGGTATGGCCTTTGTTTTGTTGTGGCTTAATTCTGATCTGTGACACTGCTCTTCAAAACACATCAGTAATTTTGTACCCTGTATCATGTTTACTTTGTAGCACAGCATGACACTGAAGAAAACTGTCTGTTCCTTATTTTCCTCACATTTATCCTAGGTTTATTGTTGGGTTTTTTTCGTTGGTTGGTTGGTTGGTTTGGTTTGTATTTTTTTCATATAGCTAAGTAAAAACTGCAGTAGGTTACTAAAGCAATGTAATTTTGAATTACCATCACTTATATCAGGGTGATTTTTTTCTTTTCTTAACATTCTTAAAGAGTGCCCCAGATATTAAAGAGAATTTTGTGTTATATTTCTAGTTGCTGCTGAAATAAAAATAAGCCTTATGGAAGAGGCTGAGATGCATGCTTGTTGTAGTTTGCAGAAATTTATGCTTCTGTATTAATTCTCCATGGCTTGTCAATATTAAGGAGGAGCTGGGCAAGGAAGAAAAAGATGGTGATCACTTAAGAAGGTCAAAACACACTCGGCAGCAGCAGAAGGGCACTGCCAGTTATGCCGGATGCATCAGAAACACTGCACAGCAGAAATGTGCACCGGAGTGTCAGATAACTTTTTAAATTGCAAAACACAAACGTTAAGATATTTTTTTCTTCTTTTTTGATATCACATGGAAGCCTGTTGCTTATCAAATGTCCTTCAAAAGGAAGGATAACAAACACGTTCTGACACCTTTTTAAATTGCAAAACACAAACGTTAAGATTTTTTTTCTTCTTTTTTAATATCACGTGGAAGCCTGTTGCTTATCAAATATCCTTCAAAAGGAAGGATAACAAACATGTTCTGACATGCACAGCCATGTACTGCTTAATGTCAAAGGCAAGAGGCTCCAGCACGGCATCAGCCATCCGGCTGGCAGGTAGTTTTTGTTGTGGGCATCATTGCAAAAAGGAGTTTTAAGATATGATAACTCTCATATCTTTGATCTCTCCTCCTCTTTACTCAAATCAAAAAGTTCATGGTGCCTTCCACATAAAGGATGGTGTATATGATATAGCCCTCTGAACTTTGACCGTTGCTGAGGGGTAGTTTTCATTTATTCTCCTTAAGAGGGATATGATTGAGAACTCAGCCACATCACTGTTTTGCTTCTCAGCAAAAAAATCCTCATGAACTAAGGCTAAAAGGCATCAGTTTGGATCCATTATCATAAATTAATGCAAATCATTTTCATTTTTACTGACAAGTCTGAAAACCCCATGCTGTCTTACAGAATAGCCTCTGCCTTTATGATAATACAATTCCCCATTCCCTGGCTGTGCCACAGCCACGCTGCTCTCTGTGTCTGGTGCAGGAAAAAAAGTGTGTCAGGAAGGGCTTAAAACTCTCCCTGCTTGCGAGCAAGTCAAGCACTTCACAAAAGTAAAAGGTCCCAACTCCTCAGCTGAGTTTGGGCTAAGAAAGTAGGACTCTTTCAGTAAGTAAGTTTAACGTGGTTGAACGTCTGAATCAGCCAAAAGGATTTATTTTTTAAAAAAGGAGGTAAAAGCATATAAGGAAATGAACCTTGGTACTTATGTTAGCATTTTGTCATACAATGTTACAGTGTTTATATCAGCTGATGATGCAAACAACATTATGAAGAGACAGAGGCGTGCCAGCTCCCTGCTTTTGGAGGAGGTCCTCCAAGGCAGCTTGGAAAGGGAATGCCTTGAAGAGAGATGTACGCATGAAGAAGCAAGAGAAGTATTTGAAAACGATGAAATGCTTGTAAGTATTTTGTTTTCCTGTGTCCAAAATAAACATTGTTGCCTTGGTCCTTTACTATCAAACACAGTTCCATGGCCTGCTTAATTTGTTTGGGTTTCTCTCCATGTGAAATCTTTGCATTTTCCACTTCAGCAGGTAGAAAGCAGATGGCTTTAGTGGTGAAAATGAAAATGCAGAAGTCAACTCTGACACGTTTAAAGTCCCCTCCTGAAAATGATGTGTCCTATGCCTTATGTTGTGAAAGTATATGTCTGCTGTCCCATCCTGACCACACACAGAAATACAGCTTCAGCATCCCTTAGGGACCAGGAGAGGCAAGGAAGTGTTGGGTTGGAGGGAAGCAACACAACAGCAAGTAGTGGGAACTATAGAAAGAGTCTCACTTGGTCAACAGCTGCAAGTCCCCTCATACAAGAGGCCCTCCTGACAAGTACAGCCTGATGTTGAGCTCTTTAATGGGTATTTGGGGTGTTTGCAGGGAAAGGAGAGGAAACAGACAGTGGGCTCCCCATGAGTGGTCCAGGTGCTTTGGGGACGCTGATGGAGGGCAGGTACAGGGAGTGAGGAGAGGTGTCCCCTTGGGGAAAGCAGCGGCAGAGCTGGCTGCATGTACCAGGGAAAAGCTGGGCACCTGAAGGTGGTGACCAGTGTTAGTGACCTGCATCTCCACTCTCTGCTGTCCCCTCTGCCTCCAGCAGCATGTGCTGGGGGACAAGCAGGACAAGACAGGACAGGACGGGACAGGATGGGGTCACTTCCCAGGCCGCTGCACTGGAAAGACAATAGCCAGCCAGTTTTTCCAGGAAGCTGTATTGCTAAAGGTCTCAGCGGTTCCTTTCTTGCCTGCAAAGTGTTTCTTTTCCTTTATAGCTTCTTAAATAACAATAAAATAAGCAGGATGCAAACCCCCTCCCATCTCATTCAAATTTTGCTAGTAGGGCAGAAGTTGTAGTTGTGGAACTATACAAACGTGAAACCATAGTATATATTCTCTCATGTAATGTTTTTGTTTTACCAAAATATTTCTGGAAGATTATATTATTTGAGAATTAAACTCTAATTTCCCTTTTTTTCTTTTTTTTTTCAGAAAATGTTTTGGGATGCCTACCATGGTAAGCTGGCCTCTTGATTTCTTTCCTTCATAGCAGTGTCACACTGTGAACATTATGATTCAGTCCAATGCTGGTTTTCTAAGAGTTTTTAGCAGTTTATCCTACAAGAAACACTCAGTTGTTATTTGTCATGTTTCTAGTAAAGCAGGAGGAAAAGTGTTGATGTGAAAGGTTTAAAAAAGTAACAAACAGGAAAAAAATTTAAGACTGCAAAGTGAATAAAAGTTGAAGGTGAGTAGATGTTATTATAATAAGTAGGCTATTTATTTTCCTGAACTTAAGGCTGTCCTGAAACAACCTGGGACTTGAGAAAGTTTGCTTTGCTGATAGAATAGAGCAGCACAGCTTTATCAGCAAAACCTCCCAAATACAAACCTAGCACTTAAACCTGAGTGAGATAAATAGGTGTTAAAACATGCTGGGCTGTCTGCAAACTCTGGATGCTGGCACTGTATCGTTCCTTGGCAGCCTTCAAGGCAAGAAATAAATCTGTATAAACTGAGGGGCTGATGTAAGTAGGTGCCTGGTGAGACGTAGCCCATTTCCTTCCAAACTGCTTTTTGCAATTCTTCTCCAAGTGGCTCACGTGCTGGGAAGGGGGCTGCATAATTTGGGTCAGTGGTGGTGGCGACTTGTCCCTCTCTTGTGGCATTTCTGCAGGTGGCAGGAGGTGCTTGTCGAGCCCCTGCCAGCACAACGGCGTGTGCGAGGACAGCATTCGCGGCTACACCTGCACCTGTGCCGAGGGCTACGAGGGAGAGAACTGTGCTTTTGGTAAGGCATCACCCCCTCTTCTGAGATGCCCTATCGCCTCCTGTCTTAGGGGGTTCCTGGGAAACCACACACAGCTCTCCCATTACAGCCAATTATCAGTTTTTAGGTTAAAACACACAGTTCTTGGCAGAGCAGAGGTGATGTGTGCTGCCTGTCTACCAAAACGTTATGGCATCCCAAGATTAGAATCATAGAATCATTTTGGTTGGAAAAGCCCTTTAAGATCACTGAGTCCAACTGAAAACTTAACACTGCCAAGTCCATCACTAAACCATGTCCCTAAGCACCTCATCTAGATGTCTTTTAAATACCTCCAGGGATGGTGACTCCACCACTTCCCTGGACAGCCTGTTCCAATGCCTGACAACCTTTTCAGTGAACAAATTTTTCCTAATATCCAATCTAAACCTCCCCTGGCACAACCTGAGGCCATTTCCTCTTGTCCTATCACCTGTTACTTGGGAGAAGAGACTGGGACCTGCTTTGTTACACCCTCCTTTCAGGTAGTTGTAGAGAGCAATAAGGTGTCCCCTCAGCCTCCTCCAGTTACCAAGGCTGCCTCCACCCCTGAGCCTCCCTTCTCTGGAGATGCAGAATAAGGGCTGAAGCATGGTCCCCTCGCAGGTGGGCTCCAAAGGCAGCCCTGCCCACTGCCACCCATGCTCGCTGGCTGCTTGTTCTGCCACAGTCCCAGGTGGCATGTGGCCTGAAGAACCAGGGCTGCAGTGCCACGGTGGCTTCCCAACCATCCCAGTGCCTCCCAGGCCACACGTGCCCACAAGACAATCCCTCGGGATGGAGGGACTCCAGAAAACAAACAGTTTTCAGTTAAAGTGTAAAAGGTGTAAAGCAAAATGGACATTTTCTGGCACATAAAACACCTTGGGCCAGATCCTACATTTTTACACCTGTCAGGTTCTACTTTCCAGCCCTTATATCGGTACTTCTGCTGGCTTGGATGTCCCCTGGGGTGGGAGAGAAATCTGCAGCTGCAGAGATTTAGCCGTCTCCAATTTCTGCTGAACAAGGGGAAAACCAATGTGGTGGGAAACACAACCAAACCAGAGTCCCTACCCACCTCCACACAAAACGAGTAAACATAAAATGCTTAGTAAAAAGGACTCAAGCTACGCAAGAAAACTCCAGATGAAGAATTAGAATTAGAACAGAATATTTCAGTTGGAAAGGACCTACAGTGATCATCTAGTCCAACTGCCTCACCAATTCAGGGCTGACCAAAAGTTAAAGCACGTTGTTATGGGCCTTGTCCAAACGCCTCTTCAACACTGACAGGCTTGGGGCATCGACAACCCCTCTGGGAAGCCTGTTCCAGTGTTTGACCACCCTCTCCATAAAGAAATGCTTCCTAATGTCCAGTCAAAACCTCCCCTGGCACAGATCTGAACCATACCCACACATCCTGTCACTGGATCCCAGGGAGAAGAGATCTGCACCTTCCTATCCACTTCCCCTACTCAGAAAGCTGTAAAGAGCAATGAGGTCGCCCCTCAGCCTCCTTTTCTCCAAACTAGGCAATCCCAGAGTCATTCATTAGCCACTCCTCGTAGGACATTCCTTCCAGGCCTTTCACCAGCTTCGTTACCTCCCTCTGGACACATTCAGGGACCTTCACATCCTTCTTAAATTGTGGGGCCCAGCACTGCACACAGTATTCCAGGTGAGGCTGCACCAATGCTGAGAACAGCGGGATGATGACCTCTTTTAAGGGGCTGGGTGCGCCGTGTTTCACACACCCCAGGATGCTGTTTGCCCTCTTGGCTGCCAGGGCACACTGCTGACTCCTATTGAGCCTGCTGGCCACCAGCACCCCCAAGATCCCTTTCTGCAGGGCTGCTCCCAATGCTTTTCCTCTGCTTGTTCTGTTTAGCTAAAAATGAATGTCGCCACCAAGCAAAAGAAGGATGTCACCACTTCTGCTACCCAGGAAGTAATTCCTACCATTGTTCCTGTGCTGATGGTTATGAGCTTGGGAAGGATGAAAAACAGTGCATCGCGTTAGGTGGGTGTGGGCGTGGAAATCCAGGGGACACATGCTCAGTACTGGGGTGGGCAGGCCACCATCTGATATCCAGATGCAATCAGCAATGAGAATATTACTGACTTTGAAAACCAGGCAGTAAAAGGAGGAACCTAGGGACCAGCAGCCAAGATGCCAGAGCAGTTGTAAGAGAAGGAATATTTGATCTGAACATTTAAACGTGGGTCTGTAGAGAGGAAATCATCCTACATACCCTTCCCTGAGCCAGGTTTTCTATTTCTAGGCTCGGTGAAGAGTAACTAACTCCACTGAAGACCTGTCTGTTTGGGAATGAGGTTCAATTGATTCCAATCAGGCACCCGATGGTCTGATAAATGAAGGGCAACATTTGCTGCCATATTAATTAGTCTGAAGAAGTAGCCCTCTTCATTTTTTCAGTCTCATACTAGGTATCTCATTCAATCTCATCCCTTTATAAACTAGGTCTATTAAAAACACAATAGTATACTTAGGCCTACAAGAGTATGTTATATGTGCTCCAGGAGGGTGTCTTCTGGTTTAGCTCCACCTGAACAGGATCCAGTTTGTGTGACCCAAGACCATGCAACAAGGTGAACAGAAAACGTAATAAACGCAGGTAGCTTGGTTACCCACTTGTAAAACATGTTTGCTGCCTGTTCTGAACCAGAACAGAAAGGCACGTGCATCCCTAGAGTAATAGTTTTAACAAAGAAAAACCAGGATTTACCTTATTGAGATTGGGCCACAGCTATTGGGTATTTGGCACAATTCAGATACAGGATACAAAGATGAGGAAGCAGGCTGTGCTGGTGGCTGGCCTGGCTGGCGGGAGAGGCAAGCTGTGCTGGTGGCTGGCTGGAGAGGCAAGCTGTGCTGATGGCTGGCGGGAGAGGCAAGCTGTGCTGGTGGCTGGCTGGAGAGGCAAGCTGTGCTGATGGCTGGCGGGAGAGGCAAGCTGTGCTGGTGGCTGGCTGGAGAGGCAAGCTGTGCTGATGGCTGGCGGGAGAGGCAAGCTGTGCTGGTGGCTGGCTGGAGAGGCAAGCTGTGCTGATGGCTGGCGGGAGAGGCAAGCTGTGCTGGTGGCTGGCTGGAGAGGCAAGCTGTGCTGATGGCTGGCGGGAGAGGCAAGCTGTGCTGGTGGCTGGCTGGAGAGGCAAGCTGTGCTGATGGCTGGCGGGAGAGGCAAGCTGTGCTGGTGGCTGGCTGGAGAGGCAAGCTGTGCTGATGGCTGGCGGGAGAGGCAAGCTGTGCTGGTGGCTGGCTGGAGAGGCAAGCTGTGCTGATGGCTGGCGGGAGAGGCAAGCTGTGCTGGTGGCTGGCTGGAGAGGCAAGCTGTGCTGATGGCTGGCTGGAGAGGCAAGCTGTGCTGGTGGCTGGCGAGAGAGGCAAGCTGTGCTGATGGCTGGCTGGAGAGGAAGCCTCGTTTCATTAGTTACAGACACAGTGAAATCTGGTCACCGCAAGCCTCACACAATGACCCAAAATGTTCAGCGCCATCGATAAGCTATTAGACTACAGATGCCAAGTGAATTACTCCAACTTTCACCAGTTGATAAATTATCCTCCTCCTTTTCCTTGGTGCAAATATGAAACCCCAAAGTCAAGGCTGAAGCAATATTTGCAGGTAGTAGTTGTCTTGAAATGGTACAGCTTGAGGTTTTGATTTTTAAAAATTAATTTCCTAGATGAATGTGCATGTGGCAGACTTCAAGACAGTGATAATCTGATAAGTGAAACCAGGAAGAAACACGATGAGCAATTTCCTTGGCAGGTATTTCTAGCAATCCACAAAACCCATCACTCAACCTCACATGGACAGTGCTGTCTATCATCTTTTTGGATTTTCTTAGGTTCTGCTGCAAAACTTAGATGGGAAGGGCTTCTGTGGAGGAGTGCTGCTAAAAAGTAATTTTGTATTGACTACAGCAGAGTGTGCCCTTCTGCATAGCCGTTTTCACATCAGGGTTGGTGCTGGTAAGTGATCAAACATTTTCTCTTGTAGCACATTTTGGTATTAACAAGCAAGTTTTTTTAAAAAAAAGCTTACTAAAATTTTTTGCTGCATAAAAATACTGTCAAAGGACAGATCTGCTGTCATCTCATTTAAGCATCTCAGTTGAGTATCTGGAACTACAGCTGCCCCATACCCCACCTCAAGCCAAGCAGAGAGACAACTGCCTCTTGAAACAGTTCAGAACTCGGTACCTAGGGATAAACTAAACCTAGGGATTTAGAGGTGGCTTTTGGTACATGACAATACTCACTTCTCTTGTTGGGTATCTGTCCTGCCCTCTGAAATTTTTTAGCTTCTACACAGCATTAAAAAGCTGTCAAGATATCATTCCTAGTTCACCTTTACTGCAGTTTCGAGAAAGAGCACATCTAATTTCCCTACTGCACATACTTCTCTGCACAACTAGGCAGTTGTCAGTGTGCACACAGGTTTCAGTTCTGGTAAATTATTCTTAAGAGCAGTGAAATGTCATTGCTTCACAGGGCCCAATGGAACAAGTGGAACTGAGAAGATAATGCAAGTTACTGAGAAACACATACACATCCGGTATGATGAAGACACTGGTGAGAACAACATCGCATTACTACAACTCCAAGAGCACGTTGAGTGCAACAACCACCAGCTTCCTGTCTGCATCCCTGAAAGAGACTTTGCAGAACACATTTTAATTCCAAAACTCAGTGGTACAGTCAGTGGTTGGAGAATGGAAGGCGATGAACTCCAAGGTGATGAGTTGCAGGTTTCATACCTTCCTGCTGAGGACTGCAAACAAATACTCAACATAAGCCTCACAAACAGGCAGTTCTGTGGACACCTCCAGGAGGCTGTAGACAAACAACTGGCTGGAGGAAGCTTTTTAGCTACTGAGTATAAGGGCACTTGGTTTCTGACTGGTCTCCTGGGATCTTGGCCTCTAGAAGACACTGACTGGAAAACATTTCTATTCACTAACACTGCAAGGTATATGATATGGTTTAAACAAACAATGAAATAAGGCACAAACACAACCAACCCTCCAGCACCAAACCCCAACCAACCACTGCAAGGAAACACTTGGATGCAGCCACTACAACTACCTGACTCTCCATCATGATTTGCAGCAATGGAAGCTGCAATGATGATATGTAATAATGCCAACTCATACAGAAAAGCCCATTTGTCTTTCCTTCTTCTGTTGACACAGAATACTGTGAAAGTCATGATGCAGTAAACTTAAGGATTTTTACTAAAAACTGTCTGAATTTTAAGTTTCCTAGAATGGTTCATCCTAAAACTCAAAAAGCATTGATGTTTTTCTGGGATTTTAAATGTTGCTAGAAGGAAATGAATCTTTTCAATTCTTGTTACTCTGAGCTTTGATTCAGCAAACTCATATTCTTATTTCAGCATCCATACAAGTAAAACTCATGAAGACCAGGGGAACTCTAAACTTTTAAATGCCTATGTTGGTGTAGGACTTGACACTCTCATCACACTAAAAAATGCTTCCCTTCATACATGGTAGCTGTGCTTTCCCTTACGAATCATGTCCAAGTCAGTTTGTGGGTTAAACAAAATCCAGCTTTTAAAGAGGGGAAAAATGTTTTATTTCCTTTAAATAATTTTAAAACCCCAAAACTACCATCTCCTCACTATGGAAACAGTTATGATGTACCACCCCCAAACAAAGAAACAAAACCCCCAAGATAGCAACACCTAAAATACTGGATTCAGTGCCAGTGTTTTCCCCAGAAACAGAATAAAACAGAGTATGGATAAGTTACCTAGATAAGCTTTTGTTCATCATAACAAAAATGAAACAAAATATTACAAGAATCCTAAACTCATCTGTGGACACCTACAAGCAAAAATCCCACATTTACTTGAACCTGTAAGTATCACTGATACAGTAAAGCTTTTAGTGTCAAGCACTTCTCTAGATTTCAGAGAAGGCTTGAAGAGTATTTAATACCAGCAAGATTATTGAAGAGACTTAAAAAAAATAATGGAAACCATGAAAGGAAACACCATTTTCACTCTGAAGAATGGATTAACACAAGTAACAAAGAATAATACTTCTCCTCTCTGAAAGATAAATGCAGAAATAGTAACACAAAGTATTTTATAAAAGCTCTAAGTAGTTTGGAAGTAATTTGGAATGTTTTGCTTTATTTCCTCATGAAATACTTTGAATGATCTAGGAAGCCTGCAGAAACTATCACTGAAAAGTCAGCATTTCATTCCAATGCATTTTGTAACACTGGCAGCCTTGGTCATTCTGGGAAAGGAGCCACAAACAGTTCCTGGTATTCCAGTCCTGGACATGAGACAAGTAATTTACAATGTTCTCGAGGTGATTAGGAGCAGCTCTGCTGGGCAAGCTGAGTGTCCAAGAAGTACTTGCAGGGGTGAGATGCAACTCAACACACTGTTGACAGCGGAGGAAATGGGTTCTGCTTACTGACCACAAGCTTTTGATGCTGATGGGATATATAGCCTTTAATGTGACCCTGGCAGAAGGAGAAAAAGACAGTTAGTACTGGAAGCTGGTAACACAATGCCTGTAACTTCAGCTGTCTTCAGACTACATCAAGCAAAGCTCTGTGTATGTACTCAATCACCACTGCACTACTGTACTTAATACCTATGAGGATCCAATTTAGGTAAGTGGGTCAGCTCACAGAGTAAGTAGAAAGCTGGAACCATAACCTTGTTTGCGTACTGATAGTGCTGTCAGACCGAGAGCCTGTTGCCAGGGCCTCCTACTGCTTTGCTTATGTGTCCCTGAAGAGACAGAGCTCTACAGAAGTGTTTCCAAGTTTATTCTTCCTCTCTTTAAAATTAGGATTTTTATTAATCATTATTACATACCTAATAAACTAAGTGATAGAGTACTTCCTTTTCAGACATAGTGATGTAACACTGGAAGAAATCTTCCAGTGACGTTATCCCACCCTCTGTTACTCCTAGACCACACCAAATAATCTGTTTCAGAAACAGAGAGGTGGCTTATTTTCTTGCTGACACTGCAGTGCTGCTCCAAAACCTCTGATTTATTAGAAATCTGTTGCTTTCAAGCCTTTACCTGTTCATGAATAGTTGAAATCCACTTAGAGTAAAAGACAAAATGTGAAAAAAACCCCAAAGAATTCTGGTTTTAATTTTTTCTAATGTTAGAATGTCAAGAATCTCCTACTTCAAATGCAGAACAAATCCATTTTGGTCCTAGTTACAATTTTTATATTTTAAAATCAGTATTTATGCATATATAGAAATTTCAGGACTGGATTTGTAATGTAAAATTCAACTTCAGTTTTAACTGATGCCTGCAAAAGAGGCCAGAACTAGAGGAAGCCCTCCAAGCAAATGAAAACATTTCAGTTTGGGCACAAGTGAATCAACTTTGTTTTTTTTTTTTTTAAACACGAGAAAACATGGAATTACTGATACATTTTTTGTAATAAGCTTTTATTCTCTACCTAATATTTATTACTGTCTGAAGTCTGGAAGGACCAGACAAGTGGTCAGCACATACCATATATATCAGGTTAGCTAAAATGCACTGGACTTCATCAATATCAACATCATCTACTTGCATGAATTTCAGGGCAAAGAGAAAGGCATCTAGAGATAGCTGATGGGTTTTGAGTAGTAAATATCTGAAAAAAACAATGGGAAAAAAATCTGTTATTGAGAAACAATCACTTAAAAATTCTGGTTCTTAGAAAAATGGCCTTTCTATAATAAATTCACTTAAACAAGAAGTTGGCTCTCAGAGAGAACTAAAGAGCATATACATTCCTATCTCAGTCCTAGGTGAAACCATATTAAATCTGCTTTTGCAAAAAGGTAGGTTTTGTTATGCTTACACTTTCTTAAAGAGATTTCTGTACGTGATGATTTTCAGCTTCTCAAGGATAAGAAAGATTCCACATCGAATAAAGAAGGTCTCGTGCTTTGTCAGAGCATCATTTAGTAAGAGAAGATTGCCTTCACTACAAGGATGAAGAAACAACAACATCAGAAGGTCTCATCCAAATGAGAAAACAAATTGTCTGACTTGGTAGGAATGTCTCTCAATCAACCCAAATAAATACCTTTTACTTAATACTTTTTGAACTAACACACAATGCAATAAAACAACCATCATACCTCACAGCCTTTGTTACTTCAGCAAACTGCATAAGGTCATACTTTTTTAAGAGCTGGACTGTCGGCATATGGCCCTGAAAAATAAATGGTTTCCAAGTTTTCCAGGGTAAAGTCAAATTCATTTTAAATGTAATCTAGTAAGCTATAAGAAAACATTTGCTAGAGAAAAAGACAAATGTGTAACCACTTTTTTTTTTTCCTACATTCATGATGACTACCTATTTATCATGGTTTACGGAGTCTTAATATTTCTTAGATGTTGGGGAACAGTTATCAAACTTGTTACATCAAGATCCTGTGACATGCGGCCCAGGTAGATCCAAATTTTATGTCATGGCTGCGTGATCTAATCTGCAAACAAAACTGTGGGAATCCCAAGCATTACTAATAATACCAGCAGTGCTTCAGCACTGTCAAGTGCTATCTCAGTCTGTACAAGATTTTTTCTTCAATATGCCTCCATGCAGAAATAAAAATGTCCCCCCAAAACCAAAATAAAAAATAAAGAGAAAAAGATTAAATTTAAAGAAACAAAATTAATTGTCATTGTTAGATTATGTAAGACTCAACCACCTACACCATTAAAAAGAAACTTTGTTTTTTTCCCCCTGCACAGCACAGATCAGATTGCACCCTGACTTGGATCAGACTTTAAATTTAGTTACCATCATGCTATGCTGTTGGTAACTTCTTTCCTGGATGGAGGATTAGCTGAGAGCACAACTCAGCTGCATGGTCACTGAGAGCTGCTAGGATTAAAAGAAAACCAAACCAAACATCCAAGCTATTTTAGTACAGTTTAAGGTTAGTGTTAACATTTGAGCTCTGATATAAAAAAGCAACTGTAAAAACAATGACCCTTATTCAGTTTCTTTAGTGCCTCTTCTACACTGGAACTGCTCCAGAAAAGCCACAGTAACTCTAGGCACTAACAGACCCACCAGTTTAAGGCACCCAGTCAGGACTGGGGCAAAATTTTTAGGAAGATTGTTAGCTTTCCTTTATCAACCCTACTACTGATTGATCTGCAAACAACCAGGAAGAAAGTCAATAAATAAAAAATTAAAACCAGAAGCCAATTATCATACCCACAATGCTTCCCCTTTACCCACTTGACACTGCAAGGGACTGGAAAGGGAGCACAGAATGGAAAAGGGAGGATGGTCATAAACAGGTTGGGGCAAAGGGGGAAGATGGCAACTCACAGAAGGAGGTGATAACAACATTCTCCATGGGTAACTTTGGTAACAGGGCCAGGAACAGGCAACTGTACAACCTAGTTCTTGTCCCCTCAGTTACACTGAATTAATTATTAGTATAATCCCACTAACTCAGGGATACACAAATGCCAGCACAGCACAGGGGAAAAGACAGGAACAAGAAGCAGAGATGTGCTTGATTCTTTTAATAGAAAGATGAAATGATCAAATAGTAACCAGTCTTCACTGATTTGTTCAAAACCAAAATGCTCTACTTCATGACCCTTCTGACATGCCTTGAATGGGCAAATGCACAAGGTGCAAACAGAAAACTCAAAGATAGGAATCCTTTCTCTCCTGTGGTAAACCCTCCTCAACAGTTTTCAGCCATTCTGTTTACACATTCTTCTTTTCTTCACCCGGTGAATGAAGCAGACAGATTTGTACTAGGGAATCTACACTTTCCCTGGCCCATCTGTGCAGCTGAGCACCAGACAGAGTGGCACTCTGCTACATGACGTAAGTTACACTGTTACGTACTTCTCCAAAGAGCTCAAAGTTATCTTTATTACAGAAGTAGCCTCAGGTTGCACCTTTAGGAGGTATGGAAGGAAGGCAGGGGCAAAGGAGCATTGAGTTTTTGTGTGAGGTTCCCCCCCAGCTTTCTCCTTTCCTGTGTTGCTACAAATGACAATTCAACATTTTCTGTCTTCACACAACAAAGTGTGCATATGCTGGCTCTCCTGTGGGCCAGGCAAAGACAGCCTTTGAATTCAAATAAGGGAAACACAAGAACCATCCTGAGCATCAGTTTGGTTATTTGCTCCCCAGAAATATTTAGAAGAGTAATATCTACTCACCAACAACATTTTTACTGGAAGCAGGTAGATCAAAATCATTCTTTTGTTCTTCTGACTCGAGCGGTGACAGTGCTCAAAGGCAAATGACAGATACTCTTCAGCTGTAGACACAAATAAAAGGGCTGGTAACATGAGTTAACAACAAAAATCGATTAAAACTCTAACCCAAATTCTGTGCTCAGTGTCCACCTCTAGCTTGAATATATGATATTTGAAATTATATGAAAAAGAATCACACCAATCAAAATACATTAAGAAAAATGTTGTAAGAAATATAGGAGATTCACACAAAATACAAAGTATTACCAGAAAATAAATCCTCCTTCAGAAAGTCAAAGAAAACTTGTAAAGGTCTAGATGTTAGTGGTAACAGTTACAAGCAATATTGGAATTTTCAGTTCATTTCACTAATATTATCGTGCTATTATTACAGGAGGGGAGAATCTCAAGAAGCACTGATGAAACAGAACTCTATTTTCTAAATTCACAGATTAGGTTCTTCAGAGGACGCAGCATGTGATGCATTCCTCTGCTGAGCTGCAGAAACATGTCAGTGAGATCACACAGCAAGACATCATGAAAATCTCTCATCAGTTTTCGCTGAGAAAAATGACAAGCCTGACAGGCAGAAGACACTGTTTAGAGTAACAAAACCAGCTCCAGAATAGACTTTGGTCTGGGGCTTTGGTTAGCGATGGAAGTTGCACACCTTGGCTCTAGAAGCATTTCTGCTAGTGAATAAGAAATCCCAGAAATGTGGTTTCTACATCTTTCAAAATCAATGCACCGAGTAACTAATTCTACAGTGCAGGTTGCTGAAGATTTCCTACCCGGCATACAGCAACTTGAAGAGGACAAGACAGTCACAAAGCCTCCTATGTGAAACCTTTTACAAACCTATTATTTTGGATGCTCATGCATTTTATTATGCATGCACACAATGCATAAGACTACAGGGAACTTGACTGACACAAATACTTTAAAACTGGGCATTTACTACAATTAGAAGTGTCATGTAATGTCATCTCTGCTCTGACTCAGCCTGCGAGCCTTGGACCTTTCAGCACGACTTTTCCTTTGATCAAGGCAAACACAACTGCACCCTCTACACACATCTGGAGTCACACACACAACATCAGCCAGATTTCACACCAAGCAGCAAGACTTTAAATCTGTCTTGCTGCACACAGTACCTTGCTTAAAGTCACTGTCAAACATGGCTTTGCGTCCAACATAGTATTTGTATGTAACTCGCTGTGCCATACTATATTCATCCTTCAGATTTGAGCTGTCAATTGCTCTAATTAAGGGCTTGCATAGATGGAGCTTGTTGATCTGTTAAAATAAATAAATAAATAAATTGCATTTCACTCAGAGAGTGTAGATACCTAGTATCATATAAGAAGAGTGGGTTTGACTTAGAATATGAAATACAAAACACAGCTTACCAGACTTGAGCCCTACCTTAAAATAAATTTTAAACAGTTGATTCACGAGAAACAACATGCCCCACTTTTTGGAATCTTCAATGCCTGCTCGACTGTCATAAGAAAAGAAAAAAGAAAAAAAAACTACTAGTACTGAACACTGTAAGAAAATGATGACTTTGCCCTTATGGTAAATTCCCTCCATAGATATTTTATGGATTTTTATGGTACAAATAGGTGTCTGAAAATAGAAGTCAAGGCCAAACTCGTTCTCTTAAACCATACCAGCACTGTCAAAACAGAAGATGTGTTCCCATCTTAAATTTTCAACAGCTCTGCTACATTAATCTCAACATGATGAAAAGATCATAGAATGGTTTGGGTTGGAAGGGATCATCTAGTTCCAACCCCCCTGCCATGAGCAGGGACACCTTCCACTAGACCAGGTTGCTCAGAGCCTCATCCAACCTAGCCTTGAACACTTCCAGGGAGGGGGCAACCTGTTCCAGTGTCTCACCACTCTGACAGTGAAGAATTTATTCTTAATGTCTAATCCAAACTTCCCCTCTTCCAGCTTAAAGTCATTACCCCTTGTTCTATGACTACCTGCCCTAGCAAAAAGTCCCTCTCCAGCTTTCTTGTAGGCCCTCTTCGGGTATTGGAAGGCAACTGTAAGATTCTCCCCAATGTTATGCAAAATATTATTCATCAGAGTCCTCACTCCAGTCTGCAGGTAACACATACACCAACATAGCTGTTGCTTATAATATTCAAGGTGAAAGAAAGATGAAAAAAAAAAAATCCCCACCATTTTCTCCATTTCAGAAGCATTAAAATTGCTAGGACTGGAAACTAAGTCACCTTTTTTTCCATCTAACCATAACAAAGCAAACTTCACAACTGAACAGAGCACAAAACTGTCAATGATCTTTCCTGAGGAACAAGGATATAATCAGTCTCTCCCAACAACATCTGCTAGGAATGTTAAACCTGAAGGGAGGTCTCTCCAGTTGTAGTTAACAGTCAAAAGAGAACAGACTATAAATGAGAGGAAACGAGCCTCAGAAGTGTTTGTTCTTATCCAGATATGGTCTTAGTAAGTGGAAAAATCTTATGTAAAGTTAATTAAGTTCTTAACAATTTAACAGTGCAAGTTCTATAGAGGATCTTTCACTCACGTGTCACTTGCACAGACTCGAAAACAGCTCATCAGCAGTTCTGCTGCTTTTTCCAACATGTCTCCAACTTTGCTCTTCCCTTTCTTCACCAGCTGTTGATCTGCCTATTATTGTAAAGCAAGAAACAACGTGTAATTCTGCATCCTGGTTCGCTGGGCTGTAAACAGTTTAGTTCCTTAATACAGCATTTTATAAAGACTTATAGTAATATTGTCATGCCTGCTATCCCCCAATCTAGAAGGTAGTCAAGATCACAGAACAAAATAAAACACTCAGAGAGGCTCCTGAACATGTACCAAACCTAATGCACAGAAGGACAGTCCTTTGAAAACAGCACTGATTCTATTACCTTTAGTGCCACTAAGCTTAACGCAGCTCTCTGAAACCTAAATTCAGGATCATCTGACAGCTGAATGGGAGCATTAACACTTCAACTACAGTTTTCAAAGACCAACAGTCTGGCAAAAAAAAGTCTTTTGAAGAAAAGCAAACTAAAATGGTTTCCCAGGTACAGAGTTTGAGTTTTAGAATTTATAATTAAGCTTCTCTCCACAGCCATGAGGGCTAGATTTTATTTCTAAACCATATTCAACATTTTCTAGTAGTAACACACACTGCTAGGACTTGGGATTTTTAGAAGAAATGGAAAACATATCTTACAACAGCAAGAGAAAAAACTGAGTTGCCAACATATGGGAAAGATCCACACTCTGATTAAAACAGAACTTAAAACAACAAAGAGTAGGGGGAAAAAATGGTGAGTAGTTATTTACTCTGTGCTCTCCAAACAGTTTTATTAGAATACTTGCATTCTCACTAGCTGAAACATAAGGAAAAGAAATGGAAACGCATCCTTTGCTGCAGAAGTCTTCTCTGTAGCCACATCCTTTGAATACACTAAGGTTAAAAGACAGAGTTCAAACTCTTCCAGTATGGCTGATCCCACTTTCCCCCTTCTCATGCAATTCAAATACAGGAATTTGCCTCATTCAGACCGAGAATCCAGACTTGCTACAGAACAGGCTCACACACACAAAAAATATTCTCTGTGCAAATATGACAAATGTGTTATTTTGTGGGTGGGTGGGCACAAGAAAGTGTGTAGGGGGACACACACTGAAAGTACTGGATACTGTCAAACTCGAGCCTAACTTGAACTCTAGCTTCACCTCTTCAGGTAAGGTGACTAGGAGCACAATCATGACCCTGCCACTTACCTTGGCCTAGCAGTTCTCACGAGATCCCTACACAAGCTTCTTCAACTCACTTGCCTGAGAAAAATAATGTAAATTTGGGTCGTTTTGTTTTTTTTTTCTTGTCAGCAGTTGTTTGGGCTTAGCAAGGGCTCCAATGAGCATCAAAAGCAGTTTGGACAGCTGGAAGAGGGGAGACAGAAACTTCTCTCTTCAGATGTGGTAAGTGGTTAAATTAGCTCAGTTGTAAGGGACAGCTCCACCCTCCAACAAATCCCAAGGATAACGAACAAAAGAGTGAGTTGTGCCACCATGCTACTCTATAAAGACAGGGCTTCATATGCTCTAAGCAACTGCTGTGAGCTGTGTGCAGGTCCTCAGAAACCTCCCTAATTCAAGCTACAAATGGAAGGCGGGCAGACTGAGCAGCCTAGTTTTTCAATGGGACTGAATGATTTTGGTGAATCAACAAAATCCTGAACAGGAGTTAAACAGTACTGAGCAAAATTAGGATATGTAACAAAGTCTAAAATATTTCCACCATGGAAACTCCCAACAGATTGTGATAGTTTCACAAAAGTAATGAAGCTGGTAATCAGATCTACTTACATTATTAGCAAAAATGCGAAGATCGAGGGCTACAGCGTACATAATAGGTAAAGCCCTGGAACAGTAAAACACAGTCAGTACGTGCAAATCGTGCAACAAGCAAGACATGAGAAACAAGTTTAGGGTTTTTTTGCAAGTTGGTCATAAAACTAGAAAAGTATACATTAATCTTTAAATAAAGAAGGGTGCACTTTTTAAAAGGAAACATCTTCAAGATCTCAGCATTTCAGAAATCCTGCACTGGAGTAAGAATTAATTCAGAAACATTTTTTATGGTGGCTTTAATAAAGTATCACCTCACTTTGAACAAATTCTTCACGTGTTTACTTATGGACAATTTACCTAATTAAGCTTAGACGTTTAGTTTTCCACACTTTTGAATCTAAAAACTCAAAACCAGCAGCAAAAACAATTAGGCTGTATTTAAGTATCGCTGGGGATAAATAAAAACGATAAGCATAATTTTAGTTTGACTGGTATGGTGTTACGATAGTGAAAGATGAGAGTCTAGTTTCTAGCAGCTCTCTATGAGGTACTCACCAGTTTTCCTCTTTATGTGCCTGAAACGCTCGCAGGAAAGATATATTGTATTTAGGAAAATTTAGAATGCTATTAAATGAAGCACAGATATAAAACCAGTTGGATGGTACCACAGATCACTACATGAAAGGGCAGAAACCAACAAAGCAGCAAGTAGATGAGGAGTTGGGATGCAAAGATGGGAAGAACGTGAGCACAGCCACGCATTCCTTGCTGTGGCAGTAGCTGGGAGAAGCACTGGCTGACAGCTTGCTTTATCAGCATCTTCCCTTCCAGCCAAGCACAAGGAGGGTCTCCTATACTACGTGAGAAATTAATTTGCTATTTTAGAGCCAAGTGACAGATTCCTTCTTAGTCCTACAGAAAGTTGAAAGAAGAGTTTATCTGTATTTCCCTGCTTCAGATCCTAAATAGTTGTAGTGTTATTCGGAAGCAGACCACATTCTATTAAATTTTAAAAGGGGTAAAGATAACTTATTCTACAGGAAGACATGCAGTTAATCTGAAAACTATGGGATTTAAGGAAAAGGATATTGGACGATAACTGTTTGGCATTTGTAGGCTTCTATGAAGTCGTGGTTTCCAACAGCGTAAGTACACCTATCAAAGAAAAAGTGCATTAGTGCATCAGAAAACATGTACCACATACATAAGACAAATACTTCTTTTTTTTCCTTTTAATGGGCATAAAGCTTTATAGTTTATTTAAGAGACACAGAAATATGACTAGAAATGTTCAGCACAAGTATTTTAACGCAGCACTAAGCCTGGTAATTGTGGAAAACTGATGGGAGAGGAGAACAGGGGTTTATCTGTGTAACATGTGGAGTCCCAACTGTAACATGCTTGTGCTTATTGAAACTGTCACCAAGATTAGCACAGATAAAAAAAACTCCAAGACTGCTGAAAGAGAACTAAAGACTGTGTTAATGCAGTTGTGGGGTTTTTTTTAAAATAAAAGGCTCACATAATTATTTAGGTCTTAAAGCTGTCTTAAGAGTACTTTTACAATTAAAATTCCCTTTAAAAGATATTTATTCTCCTTATTTATTTCATTCTTATGTGGATAGTACATGCAGAGCAAAGGAAACAGCAAGCACCAAAACCAAAGCTGTGTCAATGGCTATATGCAGATGACTGCCAGGTATATAAAGCAAACTTTATATGGAGAGGAAAGAGGTGGTCTTAATCTCCTGCAGTTCTGGCATCATTTAAGAGTAATAAATAACAAGTTCTCAGATGTAAACCCTTTAAAATAACTAAGTAAACTTAAACATATCCTTCCACATCCCTACTGGATGCCTCACAACTGACTTTACATTCCTGTTGCATCTTTACCTTAAGTGGGCTGCAAACATTTCATCATATGGTGGTTCCAAAACTTGTTGACACTTCTCCTCTGGAGATGGAAGCTAAGTATAGAATAAATCAATGAAACGTTAAAGGAACATCCAAGGGACCAGAAACAGAACATCATATGGATATTTTGTCATGGCAATTTTACAAATACATGCCTTTGCTATCTATCAGAACCTTAAGTGATATTAATATATCCCATGTAGTGTCACGAATTGCTAGTGTGCATTCTGTCTCCAGAACCTGATTAGGGTTAGCCTTAAAAAAACCCCATCTGAAATGCACATAGCACAAACACTGCTTTTCTCCTTATAGTCACTTCCACTCCACTGTGCCACATTACTAACTAATGTAGACCTGGCCAGAAGGGATCTTCCAGAAAACAATTCAAAGTGGAACACAAAAAGCCATCTAGGAAAAAAATGGAAATACATCCTTGTAAGAAGAAAAGGGAAACAAACACAGAAAGGGCTCCTGCTCTGGCGTGTGAAACGGTTTTCTAAGGTTTGGCTTCAATGGAAAGGAACCCATATAGAGAGCTAGAAAAACTGAAAGCAAAACAAAAGAAAGGTAAAAAAAATTCTCACCTGTAGCCTTGGGTTTGCAACATGTGGATGTTTAAATGATACCAATTCTGCACAAAATTGTCCATCTCTGCTGTCAATGGCTTCTTGTACCTACCAAAGAAAACAGCCACGTTACAGAATAAAGTCCAGCCATACAACATATTTACACGACTACAGAAGCCACCTTCTTGTTATCACTGTTCATCCACATCAATATCAACCCAAATGTGAACCTTTTAAAGGTTTAAAACTGAAGGACTCGATATTGTACTTTCAATACACCCATTTTTCAATAAGGTATCAGGGAGAAGGTGGGGTGAACACTATTGTGCTTTTTTCCTTATTTGTGGGATATGAGCAAACCAGAGAATCTCCAAACAACTTAGACAGGTCTAACATTGTAAAACAGCAGTTGTGAGCCATAGAATCACAGAATTGTTTTGGGTGGGAAAGACCTTTAAGATCATCCAGCCCAACCATTAAACTGCCAAGTCCACCACTAAACCATGTCCCTAAGCACAGCATCTACATGTCTTTTAATACCTCCAGGGATGGTGACTCAACCCCTTCCCTGGGCAGCCTGTTCCAGGGATTGACAACCCTTTAGTTGAAGAAGTTTTTCCTAATATCCAATCTAAACCTCCCCTGGCACAACCTGAGGCCATTTCTTCTTGTCCTAACTAGATTTGGCTAAGCTTTTTAAAATTCCAGTTGGACTTATGGGCATCAAACATATATGTGAAGGCATAAACAATCTTTGATCATTACTGTTTATTGACTCACAAATATATTTCATATGAATCTAACATTTAATAAGAAAAACTACTTCCAAACCACAAAATTAGCTCTCCTTTACTTGAAAAAAATCCCACCAATCTCTGAAAGATTTTAAGCAGTTGATTTTCCCTCCTTTGCCGCTCCCCTTGCTATTTTAGCCTCTGATTATTCTCACTTGGTATGGGCTTTTCATACAGCAAAATTCTTTTTTTTTTCCTGTCAGGACACAAAAATATGACAAATAAAGCACAAGCAGCAGGAAAGAAACTCTTAAGAAGTAATATCTAAAATTACTCACAACTGAAGAAATTTGCAGCTCAGTATCACAATAAGCTGCTCAGACAGACTATTTTTTACAAGGAGGTATCTACAGCAGGAAGCAGAATTAAACTGTTCTCCCACAGAATATAACATTTACAGTCTCGACAGTCTAACATCAGGCAGTGCCTTTGGAATGATAGCTACATGTTTATTCTACCTGCCTTCATTTTAAGTGTTACACATCCTGCTATCTGTCACCTCCTTACCCATTGCTTTGGATTTCCATCCTCACCTAGTGAGCAACCATTCCATCAGTAAAGTGTCCAAGTTTGATATAGAGCAAAATGCTTTTTTCATAAGAGATAAGGTTTGGGTGAAGGGAGTACATAAACTTAAGAAAATGCAAACAAAGTTTAAATGCACAGGCACAGAGTATGTGATATGGAGAGTGGAGACAGAGGACCACAAGGACTGTCAACTGGAGAAGATGCTGACTTTTCAGAGTAGATCACTCTCCTGAGAGATCTCAGCTGCTCCATTTTTGAGATTAAAAACCAAGCAATTACTCTCTTTTTGTGCCCTTAACTCATGTGACTTGACTGGTCTTGACTGAAGTGAGTAAGATGACAACAATGATGAAAAAATGGTGGTTCAGAAAGAAGCAGTAAAAGTGATCACATCAAAAGCTTGACACCAAGTTCGGTCCTGCTGGTACTCTTGTGACCTTGTGCCTGTCTGTCCACCTTCCCTGCCATACACACCATGTATGCACTTCTTAAACCCCTGTATCCCTGTGCCTGTCTGTCCACCTTCCCTGCCATACACACCATGCCTCTGTGTTTCTGCACTTCTTAAATCCCTGAGCTGCATTTGTTACTGCATGCACACACACAACCGCAACGTGTCAGTTCTTACAGAAAAATTATTTCACTATTCACGAGTCCAGAGGAGGCCACCAGGATGATCCAAGGGCTGGAGCACCTCTCCTATGAGGACAGGCTGAAAGAGTTGGGGCTGTTCAGCCTGGAGAAGAGAAGGTTCTGGGGAGATCTTATAGCGGCCTTCCAGTACCTGAAGGGGCTACAAGAAAGCTGGGGAGGGACTTTTCATAAGGACAGTTAATGACAAAACAAGGGGAAATGGGTTTAAACTGGAAGAGGGCAGGTTTAGATTAGATATTAGGAAGAAGTTCTTCACTGTGAGGGTGGTCAGACACTGGAACAGGTTGCCCAAGGAAGTTGTTGATGCCCCCTCCCTGGAAGTGTTTAAGACCAGGCTGGATGAGGCTTTGAGCAACCTGGTCTAGTGGAAGGTGTCCCTGCTGATGGCAGGGGGGTTGGAACTAGATGATCTTTAAGGTCCCTTCCAACCCAAACCATTCTATGATTCTATGAGTAACCCTCACACTTTTCAGAAATTCCAGGAATACATCCTTGGCAGACAGTGGTATACTTACTACAGAGTTAAGAAGTGTATTTGTTTACCACATCACACGTTTTAGGTTGATTTCTTAAGAAGGGTAACAAATTTCCAGCAAAGAAGAACACACCCACATAATCTAACGCTGTCCATAAATAATATATATAAAAAAAGAACTTTGCTTACTTGCTGCAAGTACTGATTTATGGTGATGTGCGCCATTAAAACGGAAGCAGAGGAGGCAGGAGTCCCAAACAAAACGCAGCTGTGTCACATTCTGCAACAGGAACAGGAGTTGAGGAGAAGAGCAAAGCGACAGCACCGCACACGCACCCCCTCTTCGCCCTGAGCAAACGCGGGGTGTGACCTTCCCACCCCTCTCGCTGCTGCCAGCCCGGGGGCACGGGAAGGCAGCGGCGGGCAAAGCGCAGCTCAAGGAGCAGAAACCCTGGCGCCAAGGCCCCGAGCAGGGTGCAGCGCCCTGGAAGCACGCGGGTGCCGAAAGCGGAGGGCAGGAGCACGCTGGCGGGACGCCCACCAGGGGACAGGGTGGGGACAGGGACACCCACCCGCACCCCCAGGATGCCCCCGGTCTCCCCTCAGCCCAGCCCCGGCCCTGCAC